ACTTCAAACGCGGGGAGCGCGGCCCAGCACCCGGGGCGAGTTCGCGGCGCCGCCTCCCCGCCTCCCGCCCGGAGCTTCCCAGGCCCCAGAATCCCGGAGGGGCGCGATGGCAAGCGCTGGCAGAGGCCGGTGCGATCGGGCACACAGCTCCCCCGCCCCCGCGCCCCGCGGGGACTGTCACCTTTCGTTTGGGGAAGCGAGACGGAAGCGCAAGGAAAGGTTCGGTGCCCTGCTCTTAGCTTACATAATTCAAACATGACGAAACCACAGGGTCTGATCCCGTTTTCATTCCAGAAGCGTTCTCTCGGCCTCACGGGGCTCTGCAGTGGCTTGTTATAAAACGGATGCTTCTCATGACAAACGAGCTTGCTGGTGCCCTGAACACCAATGCCCCCATACGCACACATACAACACACCCCGATCTCTTTATTTCAGCCTGCTGGAGACATGCATCTCGTGCTAGATGGTCCTTTAAGTTCTGGTTCCGCCTCGCCGATCGAGCCGGTAACCCACCGCCAGAGTTATCATGCCTTCGCTCTGATCAGGAGACGACCTTAGCATGGCAGTTGGTGTCTCGCCAGCAGGAAAGCTGCACCCTGAAGAGAGAATAATGAAAGTCATCTCTTCACAGAGCCCTGCCTTCTTTACTTCGGAGGAGGCATAGAAGCTTAACGTCAGGCTTAAGAGGACCCGAGTTCAGGCACTGTGTGCTTAACAGTCCGAAAAGAAGACGACTGTGTGACTCGCAGTTGGGGTGTACTGTAGGATGTTTAGGAAATCTCTACCCAGATGAAACAGAGCGGGATAAAGCAACTTTCCATCGTAATACTCAAAGTGGGTTGGCAACTAAAATCTTTCCATTGTTTTAATTATTTACAGATGCCTTAATACTTTGCATTATGTTATCTGAGGGTGATTGAAATAGGAAAGAAAAACCCCAGCTAAGGGGAGACTTCTGTATTGATGTATTACTTTCTTAGCAACAGGAACTAATACGTTAATAACCGAAATGAGAAACGCCATCTTTTTTATCATTGGGAGTTAGAGATTAATTGGGGTAATTAAGAGGGAACTAGGCTACAGGCCTCTGAGAGAAGGAACTCAAAATGAAGTGTAGCAGAACGGGCCGGGGTGTCTAGCTCAGTGGTGGAGGACTTGCTTGCCATGCAAAAGGCTCTGAGTTACTGAAAATTTGAAAAAAACATTTAAAAGGTTGATTTAAGTGGGGTTTTGCTTGGTCAATTAACATCACTTTATTTTTGCAAACCGGAGATGAGTATAAAAGTTATGTATTAGCTGTTGCATTAATTTTCCAAGATTAGTGTTAGAGGCCGGTGTTTTATGGAATGGGAATGTATTTTCCCATGATACCGGAGGCTCCAAGTAAGAGACAGGGTTTTCAGCAGGGCTGGTTTTTCCCAGGCCTGTGCGCTTCGCTTGCAGATAACCGTGTTTTGGTCCCACCTTCACAGAGTCATCTTTGTATCCTGTATCCTGATCTTTATATCTGTGCCTTTGTCCAACTCTTCTTATAAAGGTGGCATTGATCAGAATAAAGCCTACAGCAGTGCTTCTCAACCTGTGGGTCGCGACCCCTCTTTCCCCATCTGTGTGGAATGTGCGTTGTTCTATGTGTGCACGTGCATATGGAAGCCAGCGGTCAGCATCAGTTGGCTTCCTCAGTCCTCTCCGTCTTCCACTTCAGATGAGTCTCCCACTGAACGTGGAGCTAGACAGGTGACTGCCCCAACCCAACCACTGCACTCAGCCGGGATTGTCACCCTTCATTTGGGGAAGCGAGAGGGAAGTTCAAGGAAAGGTTTGGTGCCCTGAACCCCAGAGATCCTCTGTCCCTGTCTCTCTGGTGCTGGGGTAAAAGGCTCACAATCACTGCATTCTGGGAAATCGAGCTAGGGTCTTTATGCTTTCAACGCTAGAACTTTCCCAGTTGAGCCATGCCCCTCAACCCCTCCCCCTTTTCTCTTGATTCCTCTATCCTGGCCATAGAAAAGACCACACCGTGTTTTGACCTCTGGTTTAAAACATGCACTGCATCTTGCAAGACAGCACCACACCCATGGCATGGTGATTCACACAGATAATTCCATCACTCAGGAGCTGCAGTAGGAGCATTACCGCTATGAGTTAAAGACCAGCCTGGGCTATAGAATAAGCCCTTCTCTCAATTAACAAACCAAGTGTAAGCATCATACTCTTTCAAGGTGTTGTCTGAGGCAACCAAGTCTTCATAAGCATTGTACTATTCTGTTAGGGCAGTTGCTTCCTAGAGACGAAGTACACTGTTGATTAGTGACTTCCATGGGTGTGAGCGGATTGCTGCTTTCCTTATAACATGAGATAATGAGAATACTACCAACAGAAATGTTCTATAATGCAGTGTAGGCAAAGGCATGTCTAGAATATGTACCTATTTCACTAAAAGAAATCTATCTTCCATGCCAGGAGGAAGTGGTCAGTGTGATCACACTGTTGAGGCAGCTGGCTTGTTCATCCAAGCAAACGTGTCATACCCGGTGCTGGCTTGTGCTGGTGGTTTGTTAGAGATTCAGCAGTAGTGATGCATCTTGCAGATCTACAAGCTTAGCCTTGGGAGACAGTCATGGTACTGAGCCCACACAAAGGCCCTGTTTTAGACAATATGGCCACTTTGTGCATAAGCCCACCGAGAAAGCACTAGGGTGACTGGAGAAAGTGGATGGCGTTCACTTCGTTCACTTCTGCACGCTTCCCTTCACGCGACGCTCTCCGTGCGGTAGCTTGATGGCCACTCTGCTGCCCGTTCTGAGAGATCCGTCCAGTACCGGCCTCCACTCTGCATCAGTTTTCCCATCTTCTCTGAGTTCCTGATCATGTAGCTTAAAGATTAGAAACTACCCATGGATCAGCACACATCCATTCTAACCATGCTTTACTCCAGACAATGGGGGCAGTCAAATTATAAACTTTCTTCTCAGCAGAATTTCTCTCTACTGCCACCCTCAGGGACACCTCACTGTAGGGTGCCATCCTATCATACAGAACCACTTGTAAACCAGGCCCAGAATGTTTCCTTCCTCACTCCAGCTGTCGTGTGAAATTCCTTATAAAGCTGCAGGTGTGGACCGAGAGAATTCCTGATGTGCACTTCTCTTTCCTCCTGCCTGTGTCCAACATTCCAATGGAATGGTTGTTGCTATGCATTTACATATAAATTTTGGGCTTGGTCCATTTCATAAAAAGGAAAGTCGATGTGGTCGTTTGGTGTTATATGCTTAGCCATTCCATCTCTACACAAAGTAGAGACCACACTATGATTTCCTATCTGCTTAATATCCTATAGACTATTTTATATACATGGCTGATGAAATATTGTATCTTGCCATTATCACTGATGCTTGTTTTGACCTCAGTAAATTTTTGTTTGAACTATGCTCCTTTCATCTAGGTATGGTGGCATACACCTGTTATCTCAGCACTCAAGAGGGAGAGATAGAAGGAATTCAAACAATAGCCTGGTCAGCAAAGCAAGACCATATCTACAAAAAGAAAATGACATTTTATTTTCTGATCATGTTCAAAAATTCTCTTTTAGCATCTATTCTCAGTTTATACTAAATTTATCCTGCTTTCTAATTATATTTTGTTCGATTTTCATCTTTTTTCTACAGATATTGCCTTTTAAATTTGATCTTTTCCAACTTTTCATCACTTTTATTGGTTTCTATTTAACACATTCCTTCTTCCTAGATTTCTTGTTTTTCTCTCATCCATATTTTGTTTATTTTACTTGTTAGGTTTGTTTTTATTGTTGTTGTTGTTGTTGTTGTTGTTGTTGTTTAAGACAGAGCCTATTTAAGAACAGGCTATTCTCACTGTGTAGTCAAGGTTGATGGTAAACTCCTGGTCCTGCCTCTACCTCCCCGGCACTGAGATTACAGATGTGTGCTGTTATGTGGCTTTTCTTTTTTGTATGTGTGTGCGTGCACATGTGTGCAATTGCTGCAGCTGCTCAAATTCCCCCCGGGCTGCCATTCACAGGCAGTTGTGATCCTTCTGACATGGTACTGGGGTTTAAACTTAGGTCCTCTAGAAGAGCAGTGAGTGCTCTTAGCTGCTGAGCCTTCTCTCCAGCCCCTATCTCTGTATTTTCTTAATAACAACATTTTATATCTACCAGTTATTCTTCAAATCTTTTAAGTTGTTTAACAAATGCCCTGGGAATACAATTTTTATATGTGTCCTTAAAGAATGTCCAGGATTGCAAAAGAGAAGCTGGTCACACTAGAGAGTGTTGCTTAGTGTATGTGCTTTTCTAAAAATGTAGTTAAGTTACTTGTTCACAGGGAGTTTTAGGTTTGGTGTCACCAAAAAGCAAACAGGGTCTCAAAATGAGAAGTTCTTGGTTCTCTACAGTTATAGCACACTTGTATCTTGGTGTGCTCCTGCAAATTCGCATTGCAGGTATTAAAGGAGTACAGGGAAGCAGCCCCATATGTATCCCACAGCCCAGAACCTTAGTGATGTTGAGTTTACTAACAAACAGCATTTAATAAACTCATAGTAAAAAGATTCCACCCCAGTCACTTATTAAATTAGCTCATAAGCTTTCAGTGTGAAATACATTGTAGCTACATTTAGAACCCCTGGTAATGTCAAATATATTTTAAATATCCTTCCATGAATATATTTGACCCAGAAATTTCTACTATGACATCTGAAAAATTAGGAGTACCTAAAAATCTCTTTGTCAGAAAAAACAGAATGAATACAGCTGCACTATTAAATTCCTCAGTGGAGAAATATTTTTTTTCTCAGACTTAATCATGGAAAATACTATTTTAGGGGGATTTTCAATCTTCTGTTCTAAAAATTTCCTAAGAAAATGATTGAAGGCCAAGTGTGATGGCACACGATTTTAATCCCAGTGCGCAAGAGGCAGAGGTAGGTGTATCTCTCTGAGTTTGAGGCCAGCTCAGTCAACATCATGAACTCCAGAATAGCTAAGAATACATAGCCCTGTCTCAAAAAGGAAAATGAAAACGATGGGACAGTGTCTGTGTGTTTGTGAGTAGAATAATGCATCTTCCGTCAGATAAGAGGAATTGTGTGAGGGAAGGGAGGGTTAGCAAGAGAAGGTGGAAAATTGGGAAAGGATGTCGAGAAGAGGGTGATTAAGACTGAAGGAAAATGACAGATATGTATAAATAAGGCAAAAATAGTGCTGTGCCTGCTTCAGTAGCACAAATACAAAATTTCAAACAACAAATAGATTAACATGGTCCCGGTACAAGGATGTACACAAATCCATGAAGGAGTCCATACTTTAATATGACTATTAAATGTACATGCATGAAGTGCAATGAAATTCATTGTTATGAATAATTGATATATGCTAATAAAAACGTTAAAATTCATTAATGTATTCTAGAAGCAAACACATCATATAAACATATACAATAATGTTTTATATGGTATGTATTATACTATTTTAAATGTGACATTTCTTAGATTAAGTATATTTGATTTTTGTTTATTTATTCTCACAGGCAGCAGTTCCTTGTCCACAATGGGGTTACCTGAGTTGAGCTCTTTGCTGAGGAGACTCTCGTCTGGATGAGGCTGCAGCATCCTGAGTTTGGGGAGGCCCCAGGTCAGGCCCCTCAAGGTGCATGTGCTGTCCTCTGGTGCTGTAGGTTTTGGTAGGTGGTGTCAGCAGGCTCGGGTCAAAGTGGGCTCCGTGTGTGCACTTTCCTTCTTGGGATTTGGTCCCATTCCCTTTTCCTTACTCCCCAATCCCACAGAAGGGTGCTTAAGAGAACTTCAGGGCCCAGATCCTACTCCCTCGAGCAGGAGTGGGACGCTCTAGAGCAGGAGCCCTATGTTGAGATCGCACCGAGGTGCATTGTAATTTCTGACCAGGTCTCTCTCTGTAGCTCAGGCTGCCATCAAATGTGTTGATGCCAACAGTCAGGAAGCGGAAGCAGGATGATCCAATTGGTAGCCCGTCTGAGTTACTGAACAAAGTCCTTCTCAGAATGAAACATAGATTCTGGCTCTGAAACTTGCTAGCTATGTAGCCTTGGGTGTTTAACCTGTGCCTCAGTTTCCACATCTTTAAAACAGGGTAATAATATACATATTTAGGGTACTATGATGGCTAAATACTTGTTTTTTTCTGAGATAGTTCAGTAGGACGGCTGGACTCTAGAAGATGTGCCGCAGAGAAGATAGTCAGATGCCCAAACTGCCAAGAAGACTCGGACCAGAGCACCTGCCTAGAAGAAATAGGAACCTGAACTGCAGGGAAGAGGTTAGACAACTGAGGCACCTGGAAGGGCGCTCTCCAACATGCGGAATGGCCTGTAGGCTGTGCAGACAGTGTGCTCCATGTTCTCAGCTTTGTAAGCTGCTTCCCATGCTTGGGTGAGCATTTGTCTTTGAGTTATTTCTGCTCCTGTAAGTAACCCCTCACCCATATCCCTCTAAGGAACTCTAATAAAACTCTTTAGTTTTCTACATTGGACTTGGGTGGTGTCTGTACTTTTGTCTGACGTGAGTTCCCTATCTGAGGTTAAGTAGACATGTGTGCTGCATCTCTCCAGGCAAAGTTTCATCACACAACATAATGTCGTATAAATAAAATCAAACAGACTGGGGCTGGAGAGATGGCTCAGCCGTTAAGAGCACTGACTGTTCTTCCCGAGGACCCAGGTTCAATTCCCAGCACCCACATGGCAGCTCATAACTGTCTGAAAATCCAGTTCCAGGGGATCTGATACCTTCACACCGATGCACATAAAATAAAGTTAAATAAACCATAAAAAAAATTTTAAAAAATCAAACAGACTATAGTCCTTTGAATCTGGAACCTTTCACATAGAATAATGTATTTGTGTATGTGTGTTCATTCTTGTGTATCATATGTCTGTATGTGTTAGTGGGCCTGTATGCATGTGTAGAGGCATAGGATGAGGGTAATATTAGTTTTCTTTTCCTCAGGAGCTATTTTCTTTTCTGTTTGTCTGTCTTTCAGACTATCTATTGTAGGCAGATCCCAAATCATGATGTGGAGACTTATTATTAATTATGAAAACTCGACCAATAGCTTAGGCTTGTCCCACTAGCTCAAATAAATTGACCCACTTCTATTCATCTATGTGTCGTCACGTGATGTGTGGCATTTGCTTGTCCTTCTGCTTGTCTTTCTTTCTGTCTGGTTTCTCCCTTCTTCCTAGCATTCTCTCTGCCATAAAAATCCTGCCTAGCTATTGGCCATTTAGCTTTTTATTAAACCAGTCACAGTGACATTTCTTCACACAATGTAAAGAAATATTCCAGAACAATATCTCTTTCATCTGTGTGTCTGTCTTTTGGTTTGTTGTTGTTGATCCAGGGTTCCTCATTAGTCTGGAAATTGCCAAACAGAATAAGTGAAGGGACAGGACAGCCTAGGACCCCGCCTGCCCCTGCCTCTGGCGAGGTGGAATTTCAAGCATGTGTTAACACACTCAGCTTTATATGTGAGTTCTGGACATTGAACTTGCGTTTGTGCAGCAAACACTTTACCCATTAGCCATGTCCTCGGCGCCCTCTTTTAAGATTTTAAAGTTTATATTTAAAGTGCGATTGATTTAAGCAAACTTTTCATGCTGAGGAAGGTGTATGTTCTCATTGGATCCAGTCTCTGCAGAACTATTAATTGAAAGTACTACCCTTTTCTGTTGAATTGCCCTTGCACAATTGAAGGGTTTATTGCACAACTCTACTACTACATTCTATTGGTCAGCTTGTCTACCTTTCATCAAGCTCATGCTGTCTTAGCATTATAAATTAATAGTTAATCTTTCAATCTAATCAAATAGACATTGGTAATGATGTGTTGTATTATTTGTAAGCAGTTTTAGAAAATGGATCAATTTCTGCTGTTAATCTTTTATTTGAGAGGTTAGGACTTTCATTGTTGTTGAAAGGTGTAGGACTTTTGGCTTTTCCTTGATGATGTCACTCTGTGTAGCCCAGACAGACTTCAAATGTGGGATCATCTTGTCTCGCCCTCCCCTGTGCTGGAGTTACAGGTTACACTGTGCCCTCCATGCTATTAAGTTTTAATTGTATTTATTAGTTATTTTATTGTTATTTATATTAAAACAGTGATACTTTCCCTTGACTCTGGTACTCTTTACATGAGCAGTCTTTTTTTCCCCCTTGCTGTGGGAATTGAACCCAGGATTTTTGCATGTCCATGCACTCTACCTGTGGGCCACATTCCCAAGCATTCATGGACTGGTTTAGGTATGCTTATTTATTGTGAAATACAAGTAACTGAAATTTACAGTTTTAGCTATTTTTGGTGTCCAGCTCAGCAGCGTGAAATATATTCCCATTGTTGGGTATATAAGCACCACCAACCTTTCCACACGCTTTCAGCTTTCAAAGGTGACATGGTAAACAATGATAAACACCCTTGTCCCAGCCTCTGGCAACCACAATTTCACTTCTGTGTTCGGAATCTGACCACCATGAGCATACAGTCGCAGTGGCCTTCGAGCCTGACTTGGTTCACTTCTGTCTCTGAGGTTGAAAATGTGTGAGAGTTTCCTTCCCCTTTCATGTTGAGTCGTGTCTCACTGTATTCTAACAGAAATCTTTCCTCATGCCTGTGAAAAGACACGCCAAAAGCACCAGTAGGGAGGAATGGCTCATTTTCTCACAGTTTGAGGGACCAGTCCATTATGGCCGGAAAGAGATACCTGCAGGAACATGTAGGAGCTGGTCATTGTGTACCCATGGCTGGAAAGCAGAGGGGGAATGACCTCAGCTTAAGGAATGGTGCTGTCTGCATTCAGGGTAGGTCTTCCTTGCGGTGTTAAATCTTCTGGAAACACATTGACACTCACGTGTGTTTTTAAGGTGATTGGAAACCTAGCAGAATAGATAATGAAGCTGAATCTGCACAGGCGTCTGTACTCCTTTTTTACCCGTTCATCTTGGTGGTGCTTAGATTGTGTCCCCAATTTCAGGTGTTTTAAAAGGGGATGGTGTGAGCATGAATATTTAAATAACCTTAAGTCATTGGTTTCGGTCCTTTTGGGTGTGCCTCTGGAGTGGAATTTATTGGATTATATCTTAATTCTACATTTAGTTTTTTAAAGAACTAACATACCAATGGACTATAGACTTCAAGGAATTATGTGGTTATTTAACATTGATTTTTACATTAATAATAGACTTACAGAGAGGATATAGAAAATGGAGATAGATTTTTTATTTTAATGGGCAGTATTATAGGTTGTGGGAAGGGCCAGGAAGGGCAGCTGAGGACTGCATTCTGACATTTCCATGAACTTTACTAGTATTAAAGATGCAGTGTGTTCTTAGGGTCATTATCTGCTTTATACAATAGTTTTTTCATTGAATTTCTGCACATATGCTCTTAAGTCTGTGTCTGTGTGAGTGCATGTGGATGCCTGCAGAGGCCAGAAAAAGGCACGGGAATCCTTGGATCTGGGTCACGGGAATCTGTAACCCACCTTCCAGGTCTTCATGATTGAGCAGGAAGTGCTCCTCACCATCAGGCCTCTCGCCAGTCACCTATTATTTGCTTTCAAAATTCTAATGTTAGACGTATACTCAGCATCTAAAATTTTGAATGTTTATTTTATTACTGCCTTTGTTACTTTTCTATTGTTGAGAAGACACCATGACCAAGACAGCTTCTAGAAGGAAGAGTTTGCTGGGGGCATACAGTTTCAGACGCTGAGTCCATGACCACCACGACAGCTCGCTGGCAGACATGGCAGTGAGCAGTAGCTAAGAGCTTACACCTGATCCCTAAGCACAGGGCAGAGGTAACTAGGGATGGTGAGACCGCAAAGCCCACCCCCAGTCACACACCTTCTCCAACAAAGACGTGTTTCCTAATCTTTCCCTAACAGTGCCACCAATGGGGGACCAAGTATTTATGTGAGACTACTGGGGCCATTCTCATTTAAACCACACTTACTATTCAAGAAGAGCATTTAGCCCTGGAAATAGTTTTTCTACAAGATTTTAGGTGAAAATCACTTTAGTTAAAGCAGAAAGGTAGCGGGGATGGACAAGACCCGCCCATCTGAGGGAATTTCCTGGAAATCAGGTGTTTCTCTATGCAAATTTAGAGAAAACACCATCATGGAAGAACTACTTCCCCTCCCCCAGTGCAGCCAATGATCCCCAAACCCGAATGCCAGGACCGCCTTAGGAGCCCCTAGGCTGCTGGGACAGCAGGGCTTCTATGTCAGATTCGATGTCGATTGTGCGAAAGGGCGGCTATACCTGCGCACTGGAACACCGTCCAGGCCCACCAGGAACTTCTCGAAGTTCCAGGCAACGTCACTGAGGCACACCAGAGACCAAATAATACACTTGGGGAGGATCATGAGCACAGTGGAGCTGGCAAAGACTCCCGCAGGAAGGGAAAGAGCAGGTGAGCCTTCTCACCATTCGCCTCACACTTCTAGAACAATGTAAAGTTGGGTTTGGAACCCCCCCACCAGGTCGGATCTACTTGAGGGAATTCAGAATCCCTTCGTTCTTGGCATTCTCCTGATAACCAAACTGATTGTCCGGGAAACCGAGCACCATCAGGCCACAGGCCCGAGGTGTCTCTGCAGATCTTTCATCTCAGTGTAGTCCCAGGTCGTTGTGCCTCAGGGATGAACATTCCCAAGGAGCAGCACCTTGCCCCGCAGGGAGCCCAGGCTCACAGGCTTCTCCTTGAGCCTGCAGCGGGCAAGTGGAGAAGGCAAAGCCTAGAGTAGCCAGGCAGCGGTGGCAAACACCTTTAATCCCAGCACTCAGGAGGCAGAGACAGGCAGATCTCTGTGAGGTCAAGGTCAGCCTTGTCTACAGACTGAGTTCCATGACAGACTCAAAAAGCTACAGAGAAACCCTGTCTTGAAAAAACATAAATAAACAAATAAATAATAAATAAATAAATCGAAGTCGGTTATTAGACGGTGAAAGCTAAAGTATCAGAGAAACAGAGCTGTCAGTCACTGGAGAAACCTTTTACCTCTACCAATCCTCATGCCAAAGGGACAGTCCTGTCCTCAAACTGCATCCTCTGACTGCATCCACAGACTGCATCTCCAGACTGCAGCTGAGCTCCTCTCTCCTCCTTCCTTATGTTCCTCTCTCTGCCTAGCATGTCACTTCCCTGTCTCCACCTCTGGTGCTGGGATTAAAGATGAGAGGCACTACTGCCTGGCTCTGTTTCTCTTTGAGACAGGATCAATCCAATATGGCCCAGGGTGGCCATGAACTAACAGAGACCCTTCTGCCTGTCTCCCAAGGATTAGAGGTGTGTGCCACCACTCCCTGGCCCCCATTGACTTAGCTTTGTACTCTGATCTTTAGGGAAGCTTTATTTGTTAAAATATAAATAAAATATAACTACTTATCCCCCCTTTTTTCAAAATAAAAAGCCTGAATCTAATCTCCTTTAACTTTTTTCTGACTATTACCAATAACTTTTAACATATC